TCTCATCTTTTTAATAGTAGCTATCTTTATGGTAGTGAAGTGGCATCTCACTATGAATTTAATTTTCATTTTCCTAATGACCAATAATGTGTGCTTTCTCCTTTGTTTGCTGGCCATTCGGCTGACTCCTTTAAATGTTTCTTTTACCATTAGCTGTTTCTCCCTCCTGCCTCTTTTTCACATGGTCTTTATTTACCTAGAAACATGCTCAGAAGTTTTGGATAGAGTCCAGTGAGTTGACTGCTTGCTTCTATCGCCTTTCTTATAATTTTTGTTCACCATGCCTTTTTCTCTGGGTTCTACCATTTCCTCCAGACTTAAATAAGCCTTCTTATGTAGCTTAAATGAAGACATAACATCATGCTAGAAGAGATGGTATTTGCTTTTTAGCTTCACAGATGCCCCTTTCCTCAGTTCCCACTTTTGCTGGTGGAGCTTTTCACTGCCAGATCTAATGCCCTACTTGCAATCTTTGTTATTAACTAACAGAAAATGAAAATTTTAATCAAAAAACTAGACCATTTAGTACAGTCAACAGAGAGTTCTAAAACCTTACAGACGGAAAGTCCCAATGAGCCCTGTGCATCCATATGGCGGGAAGCATGAACCAGAGAACTTCTGCCATTTCCAGTCTCCTGTATGCCCTGAAAATATGCTTATGTCTCCTGAGAGAAATGGACAGATTTGTGCTCTCAGGCCTTTAGCTCAACTGTCTTCCTGTACTATTTAGATTCTTCTCCTTCTTCAAACCTTATTGTCAATCATAAATGCCCCATTGCCAAATTGCCTTCCAAATACCAAGACTTGTATCAAACTGTGAGCTTTGGTCTTCCTTTCTCTGTGGATCTGAGACTCTATAGAAAGGAAACTAAGAGCTTGGGCTTGGTGTCTACATCAAGTCACATGTGTACCACTACTGTGCCTTGAGATGACATACTGCAGTATGAGCCAGACAAGAAGTGATGTGAAGCTCCTCTATGTCCCCTGGCTGTCTAGAGGAGATAAACACCACTATGAACAATATGGTGAAGACTCCGCATATTTCCACTCCAGAAACTTCTAGAGCTATATATTCAATTAGCATTTCAAAAGATCTGGGCATCCAGGGGGAGGACATATACAGGGCTCAGACCATTACCCCACAATATTTTCCCCAAATTTCTCTGACCTCTTCAATACTCTTAAGAACATTGAAGATACTTCCCATAAAATGATGTGGCATCATGGCATACCCTTAATCCCAGTATCAAAGAACCACTACACCTCAATTCCTGCACTCCTCTGGACTGGTAATCAACTGGGTGTGTCCTGGCACTGATATTTAAGATAGCCTCTAACAGCTACTTTTCTTAGTACTCTCCCAGTCATCACTCCATTAAATGCTTTGCCTGCAGAACCCCATATGAGTTCCAGAATATCTTCAGATCAGCATAGATGGCTCATGTTATGTTTCAAGAACCACACTATCAAGAACCCAGTCAGAGTTTGGACTAGAACACCAAGAATTGACCCAAAACTTACTAAAAATACTCTAATATTTAACATTTCTCTGAAGCCAACAGTGGTTGTCTGAAATGAAAAGAGGAGGGGACGGGAGGGGAGGGGAGGGAGGGGACGGGAGGGGAGGGGAGGAGAGAGGAGGGGAGGGGATAGGATCCAATTCTCCCTTTCCTGGTAAGGCCTGACACTGACATTCCAGTTTCCTAAACTTAGCTCCATGACTGAGAGACAAGAGTACTTCTTATATTGTTTCACTGAGTTTATATAGATTTGACTCCTGAAGACAGTTAAGCACATGGAAGAAAAACAAAAACAATTCCTATTCAAATAAATGATTGAGGAGGCTTCTTCTTCTCACAAAGCAACTCTAATCAGAATCACCCTGTCTGTAGCTTGTTTGCTCCTCTCTGTGAAAACCTAAGGCAAAGCCACCCTGCTGAGACACTCTGATATTTGGACAGTCTGATCTCAGTTATTTGCCTCCTTACAAAAGCCTGAACAAAATTAGTCACCATGCAGTCTGGTTTTGCCTTTGATAGTTGTAACTGAGAAACTTTGATCAATATAATCATTCAGTATAAGTGGTCATGCCCATTAATAGCTGTTCTTGCTTCAACACAGCTCCTCCTACCCAGCAACATTCATTATAACAAGGAACTAGCAATGTATGGTACTAATGTGGTTTGTGTCCAGGGCCCATGAATAATGCAGCTTTCTCCAAACTATTTCATCCTTCTCTCCAAAATCCTCCCTAGAAATAAATTCATATAGAAATAAAAGCAGAAGAAGTTTTATCAGATAGGCTTATTTTTATTTTTATTTATTTGCATGAGTATTTTGTCTGCATATGTATCTGTGCATCTTATGCATGCCTGATGCCCAGAGGCCAAAAGCGGGCATCAGATCCCCTGGAGTCACAGACAGTTGAGAGAAAGCATGTGGATGCGAGGATCAGATCCAGGTCCTCTGGAAGAGCCCCAGTGCTTTTAATTGCTGGGGCACCTCTTCTCCCCTGTCAAGGGGTTTTTAACAAGTAGTACACTATTTTAGCTTCAGCCATTTGGTCAACTATATAGCAATCTCCTTTCCCAAACTCTAGACAACAACCAATCAAAGCAAGCCCTACAGCTTTGTGCTGTAATGCACACCTACACCCTTCCCTTCCCTTCCCAAGAATGTGTTCGTGAAGAAGAGAAGGATTATCTCATAGAAGATTAGAACCATTCTTCAAATTTGTGCAGAAAAAGTCCCCTGGAAATCAACTAACTTCTCTACAATCCCATCCCTAAGGAACAAAGAAAAGAGAAGGTGGTCACACCGTAGCAACATTGTCCTTACACTAAAACATTTATTTCTTTTATTACCTTTTATATTTGATTCATGTATGTGTCTCTCTGTGTGTATGTCACATGTGTGGAGGCCTACACAGGCCAAAAGAGGTCATGAGCTTCCTTGGAGCCGGAATTACTGGTGGTTGTGAGCCTCGTGGTTGCTGGGAACTGAATGCAGGTCCTCCAGGAGAGCAGCAAGTGCTCTTAACCACTGAGCCACCTCTCCAACACGAAAAGTTTCTAAACAGAAAATAAAAAAGACCTTTAACATTTAACATTTATTATATATTGTGCCCATCTTCTAATTCATTAACTTTTTGCAAAACAGTTAATAGACGTGATAAATTAAAGGTTCTTATGAATTCTGTGGATAATTTCAAAACTTAATATGTAAGATGCATCATTGTGTTTGCTTAATAATTATTATTGACATTATTTTTATCAGATAGCTACCTACTTGCAGCCAGTTTTACTGGAGTAAAGTGTGATCTCTTTGTTCAGATATATATGTTCATGAAAAAAAATGACAAATTTCTGTTTTCTATTCTTTCACCTGAAAGTGGTATAAAAACAGATATAAATCAAGGCCAAAGAGATGTCTAAGTGGTTAAGAGCACTTACTGCTCTCTCAGAAAACGAGAGTTCTGTCTCCAACACCCAGGTCAAACAGCTCTCAGTTGCCTGTAACCCCAGCTCCAGGGAAACCAAGGCCCTCTTATGTCTTCTGGGAGACACGCTCACACCAGCGCGCACGCACACACACACACACACACACACACACACACACACACACATGCTGACATGGGAACTTGCACACCACATACAATGCATTTAAAAGTAATGATTTGTTTATTTAGTGAAGATGTGAATCAAAAGGTGGCTGAGTAAGGTGCCGGAAGCCTAATCATTTAAAGATTTCTTATTTCTTGTGTGCATATGAATATATTCTTGTGAATGTATGCCACATAGGTGCAGATACTCATGGAGGCCTGAAGAGGACATTGCCTACATAAGAGCTGAAACTATAGAGCTACAAGCCACTCTGTGTGGAAGCTGGGAACAAACTCAAGTCCCCTATAAGATCAGCAAGTACTATTACTGTGAGACCAAAATGAGCCATCTTAGAAATAAGACCAAAATGCTTTCACCCTAAAATTAAGGCCTAAGATTTCTCCTTTTGGGAATAGGCCATTAGTTACTGAAACCAGTCAGTTCAGATTCCAGAAACCAGGAAGTGTAAATGTACAGAGTCACAAGATAGTCACAAGGTAATGCCTGCCAGACTATGGAATGTCCTCTCCCTGGTTTCCAGGGTAACTGACCACAGAAATGCCCCCACCTGAGGGCAGCCAATGAGAAATGGTGGCAGGCAACCACTCCCTTAGAAGTAATTTCTAGAAGTCCCTAGAAGCGAGCCAATCAGAATTGTATCCATACTAGCACCCCTAAATGATGTAACCTTGTGACTTTTCCCTTTAAAAACTGAGCTTGCATATAGGTGGGCACTTCCTCCAGCCTCCACTGCGTTGGATGTATTGGACGAAGTCCCTGCCTAGGCTTGTATTGCTTTTGGATATCCAGAATTAAACCTTACTTTTGCATTCCGGCATGCTCGTCTTTGGTGGTCTCTCTGGGGGTCACGATCTGGGCACAACATTACCAGTGAGACCCCAAGTAATTTTAGAAAGTAAAAGGTAATGAATCATTGTGATTTCTAATTTTCTTTTTTTTTTAAATAAGAAATTTTTTATTCATTTTACATACCAAACACAGATCTCCCTCTCTTCCCTCCTGCCCCAACTCAGCCTTCTCCCACAACCCACCCCCCATTCCCTCCTCTGAAAAGGTAAGGCTTCCCATGGGGAGTCAGGAGAGCCTGGTACATTCACTTGAGACAGCCCCTCCCCCTGCATCAAGGCTGTGCAAGGTGTCCCACCATAGGTAACGGGCTCCAAAAAGCCAGCACCAGGGATAGCAGACCCTCTGCATAAGCGAGACAGTTGTGTAGCTTGATCTGCTTAAGTGATTTCTATTTTTCATTGTTTTAGATTCACTGTGTTGATTCATCATCCATTTAAATTCTAGGTTTTTGTTAGGTTTCTAAATAATACTTTTCTTCTATTACCTGTATCCTATAATGATAAATGTTAATATTCTTCCCATCTTGGAGCAGAATTTGGAGAAGAGAAAGGAAGCTTCTTTACATTTTCCTTTGCCCTGGGGACATGTGGAAGTAAGTCTGAGCTCCCAGGGGGCTCGCAGCAGGAGGCTCCTAAGAATGCTTTAGAATCCAAACAACCAGGAAAGAAGCTTCAAGTCTCAGGCAGGGCTTTAAGTGTGAACTGAAGAGAGAATACAAAAGGGGTTATATGGGAGGGAGAGGCCAAGCGCCTAAGGCAGTGAGAAATATTTCTCTGCAGATGAAAAGGGCTGCCTTAGAAATAAATCTATCCCCTTAGTCATAAAACAAAAGTAAAAAGACCCAAAAGGGAAAACAAAACAATGGCATTGTGCAGATGGCAAGTTTCTTTTCCAAGTCTAGTCCACGGACAGGAGAGGGTGGAGAGACAATGTCCCAGGCGGCTAGGTAGAGAATTCCAGACTCATCCTCACCCAAATGGCTCAGATAACAAGAGATTCCTTGGAGCCCTGGTGAGTTTAAAGGTGCAGATTAAGGCATCTTGGTTCTGGGATATTTTCGAGCTGTCACTTTACAGGACATCTGCACACTTTTCATTTGGTTCTGCATTTGTATCCACTTCCCCTTCCACCATAAGGAAGTTAAACATCACCTGTGCAGGCAAACAACTCCAGGAGCTCCATCCATGTCACACTAGCCTTTTTTCCGCTGACTACAAAGCACACAGACAGCCTCTTTTGTCACTGTAATGGATACCTGGGTGCCAGGCTCTCACCAGAAAAGTGTGACCTTGAGTGTCTGCTATTTAACCCTCATCAAAAGGCAGATTGCAGGCAGAGCATTTGGAGATGTGATCTGAAAGGTAAGTCTGGCTGTCTCCCTCCCTCTCCGTCTTTGTCCATCTCTGTCTCTGTCTCTCTCTCACCAACTCTCATCCAGGACTACAGACGTACTCTCCCAGTTGTTCATAATTCTGCCCCCAGGGGAATGTAGTCTTGAGAATACTTAGAATAAGTAAGAGAAGGGAAATTGGCTGCAGATCAGGACTACTTTGGTCCAATAAACCCACTGGTTCCCCAAGCTGGGTGTGAAGCTGGACTTGAATGGAATCCTTTCTTCTTCCTGCAGTGTCCTCTCTATCAGGGTTGAACACCTTTATGGCTGCCCCCCAAGAAGTCACACAACAGTGAGGCATTTTTTTTTAAATAAATAAATAGGTAGGCTTTAGTTGATAAAGAGTCTGAATTTCATGAGTGGTTTAATACTATTTTATGTTTTGTGCGTTAAATCTCAGAAGTAAGCACACAACAGTCCAGAAATGTACATCATCTATGCTTATTGCAGTGTTTTCTCTTTTCCCACCCACACATCTCAGTTTGACCCTGTACCTCCCAAGTATAATTAGCTATAAGTACACGAAGATCATTATTAATAGTAAAATTTTTATTAGAGTCATTGGCATGTTGTAAACTGAATGACACTCTCAAAAACCTTTCCCAAAATATACCCTAGCTTCATACAAATTCTCAATACTACAGCTGATAAATTAGAATTGCACCTATTCTAAGTTTGCCCTTCAATTAGCTGAGCACTCGGGTCATACTGATAACTTTAGATTGTTTTAACTCCAATTTCATTCTGTAATTCACATTTCAACATATTGGAAATAAAAGTTTCTTCTTCAATAATGTTTTTAAAAAAATCTTTTCTTAGTGACATAACTAATGAGCCACCAAAAAAGCATGTGTACAATGAGGAAAGATATTAAATAACAGCTGACAGAGTCAAATGAAAAATTACTGCATTTTGACATCTAAAGGATTATTTTCAATTATTTTTCTTGGACAATTAAGCGTATTCAAATTCCATAATGGGCTGTGTCAGTCATCATCATACATAAAATGCTTCCGTGGTGTACAATAAGCTTTTCTCCTCATACAAATATCTAAGGACCTGTAATTACACCTCATTAAACCTTGCCACCATCATTTGGAAGTCCCATTCATAATATTTAGCCTAAAATTGTACTAAATAATTAAAGTCAATTATTTCCAAAGTACTCATGAACTTTTTATCTGGGATATATTTAAATATACACACAAGGTAAAGCTTCAAGAATTAGTCAATGATGATAAATGAAATGATGAGAACAGGTGGTTTTTACTACTGTAGAAAAGGTGTACTAATTAACTTCAAATTTTTATTTTATTTTTAATTATGTGTGTACATGTGAGGGCATATACTTATGTCTGCAGATACACACAGAGGCCAAAAGAGGATGTCAGATCCCTTGAACTGGAGTTTCAGGGAGTTGTGAGCCCTCTGACTCAGTGCTGAGAACCTAAGTAGGGTTCTCTGCAAAAGCAGTGCCTGCTTCAGCCCATTGACCAACTTGTGATGTGCTTGCTACATGTGCTTGTTCTGTAAGGAACTGAACCTTCTCTACCATGGTTCATTGAAGTTATTGAACTCAGTCAACACTTTACCTAATGCTAAATAGGAGGCATCCAGTTAAATACGCAATGTCATTTTTAAGAAAGCATGCCAAGATGTCACTAGCAGCCTCCTCATCCATGAACAAAAATAGTCCATTACTCACAGCATGAGCAGGAAACAAAGTGTCAATCCCTTCCACAGTCCCTAAGCCCTAATCCCCAGAGAGTGCCATAAGAGGGACCAATGGTGCCTGCACAGTCTTTGGGTTTCCCTGCAGAAGCAGTCAGGCTCAGAGACCCTGAATCTGTTTAGTGGATGGAAACCCTGCTTGATCTTTGTAATAGGAGAAACATTGATACAGCAGTCTATAAACCAACCTATTCCTTGCTCCAACGGAGAACACCGTGTCTATCTTTATACAACATCCTCAGAAAGACCCACAGCAATGACAGCCAACCAGTGTTTCTGCTCTTCTGCTCCTAGGTAAACACATGAGAAACTACATCAAATTGTCTCCCAACACACAGCATATAACAAGTTCCAGAAGCATATTGCAAATATGCTCTCTAATGAAATCTCATATGCTTGACCAACATCTCCTCTTATCCTGCCTATACCTCTCACATCACACCCCACAAATGTATATAGTCAGTATCAGTTAGAAATAGATTAAAGCTACAGTAAGCACCTTTGATAGACTGTCTACGGAAGAATGAGAGTGGTTGTTAGTTAATAGCTAAGTGGCTGCTTCGTAGATTTTTCACTTCTCTGAAATAAGTAGAGAAGAGCAAGATAGGAAGAAGACAGAAAGGAGGGTAGGGGGGAAGGAAACGGGGAGAAAATGAGTAGGGATGGAAGAAGGAAAGAATAAAATGGGGGAAAAGTGAAAGGTCTGATAAACGGGGGCTGGTCGCAGTGGTTTTTACCATATGGAAAGGTCACAGTCACAGTCACGACAGAACCCAGTGTTAGTTTTCAGAGCTTTATTAGGAAGGGAAGTGGGGAGGGGAGAGAGGAGAGCCAGGCCTGGAGAGAGAGAAAGATGGTGGGGTTGGGAGAGAGGGGAGCAGAGCAGAGAGAGAGAGTGGAGTCTGCGTCCAGCTTTTTAAGGAACAGATTGTGTGACCACGCCACGAACATAGTCGTCAGCGTCCACTGATGATGTAAGATGCAAGACCTCGAACTACGCATATGTAGTCATGAATAGGGCAGAATTCTAAGGTGGAAGAAGAAAGAGAAAGCAGGATGAAGAGAGAGAAGGAAGACAGGTAAGAGAGAAAAGGGTAGGGATGGAGGAGGGGAGAAAGGAAAGAAGGAGAGAGGGAGACCTTGGCATTTTTCATATCTAATTGGGAATATCAGTTGGTTCTGTTGGTTTGTTTCAGCTACCATGGTTGCCTACACACCTATTCTAAATTAATGCTCAGTAACTTATTTGGTAATGGCAGACTATGTACATACGTGTTCTGATGTAGCCAGTGTGAAATGGGCTGAAAAATCTATTCTCAACAGTGTTCAAGATTCATAAACACATGGTAAGTTTTTCAGTTTCATAAATTACTAAGGAACACTAAATTAATCTAAAAGGTAATTACTATCTTCCAATCAGATTGCACTTCCCCTAAAAGGAAAAAGCAAAACGAAAAAACCTGGGTGACAATAGGAACCACACATAGTAGTGACAATGGCAAACTGGTACAACCAGCTCAGAAAACTCTGTTCTATTGGCCCCCTTGGGTGGAAATTCTTATGATGTAGCAGTGTTACTTCCAGGTTGCGACCACAAAAATGTAAGCCAGAAAACAGAGTGGGCTGGAGGGATGATTCAGTCAGGAAAGTACTTGCTTTGCCAGCACAAGCACCTGAGTTCGATCCCCAGGACCCAACTAAAAGTTGGAGGCATGATGGCTAGCACTGGCCATTTTAGTGGCTAGCCCTGGCAGTCCTGGTGCTTGAAAGACAGAAACAAGCAGACTCTTGCTGGGAAGGCTGTCTTGTTTGGGGGATGGGAAAAAGAAGCTACTAAGTAGATACACTGCCCAAGTCCTTCTGAAGACCTTCCAAATAGTGCTTCTCATACACGGAAATGGATGTTGAGAAAATAGGTAGGCTTACTTTACACATAGAAGATACACACAACATTTCATCAATATATAATCCTAACAAATACCAGGTATTTGATGTGTCCTGAACTTTGTGTTAGAGTCAACATGCTATGAAGGACAAAGAAAAAAATATATACCATATTTTTTGTCTTTAGATGCCTTCAGCTGAATGGGAGATGAAAACTCTTACATTAAAAAAAAAAATAGAAACGTTTCCAGATAACAGAAATCACACAGAATAATAACAGCAGCAAGTTGGCACAGCCAGTATAATTAGATAGTAGACAAAGCATGGAGGAGGACACAGAGGATGAGAAACATGGAGGGAGGAAGGAGGGGAGAGTACTAAGTGGATTAATTTCTAGGCTTACTGATGCAAATGCAAAAATAAAAAGATGTGAAAAAAGACCAGCATTCTAGAACTGACCAAGACCAAAGCAAGTCAATCCTGGTAAAGCTCTAAAGACCTCACACTAATCAAAATCCAAGGGCAACAGAATCATGGCCCCATATTCCCAATGTTAATATCCATGAGTCCATCCATTTCATATAACCCATGTGTTAATTTTAGTCTTTCCAAAGTTCCACTTCACTCTTAAGCTGCTGTCTTTAAGGATAGTTCCTCTTTTAATTTTTGATATTTCAGAGTTCATTTGAGTGT